GCCGAGTGAGCAGATGCCCGGCGCCGCGCGGTCTGAGCTCCCCCGGCCCTCTGGGAGGGAGGAGGTGGAGGAGCTGAGATGGAAGGGAGAGGGAGGAGGGAGGAGAGGAGGAGGAGGGAGGAGGGAGGAGGGGGAGGGAGGAGGAGGGTAGGAGGGGTTCGTCGACCGTCCGTCCGACGGGCGTTCTCTTCCGCGTGAAGCTGCGGCGCCCGCTGGGGCCCCACCCGAAGGCTCCGACGGCTCGAAAATCTGCTTCGGGAGGGGGCGCTGGCCCGAGAAGACTCACCTCCCCCTCCTCCCCTCCCCTCACGTCCTCTTCGTTCGTCGACGTCCTCCTTCCTCCTCCTCCTCCTCCTCCGTCCTCCTGTTTAGCATAACCCGACCTAACGAACGTGTGGCGTGCCCTCCTCCTCCTCCTCCTCCTCCTCCTCCTCCTCCTCCTCCTCCCCCTCCCCCATCCACCTCCCCCTCCTCCCCCGCCGGGCCTCCACCTCCTCCTCCCCTCACCCGCCCCTTCCTCCACCTCCCCCAGACCTCCGTACCCCAGACCGCGAGCCATCGGGCTCCAAAGGGGCAGAGCGCCCGCCAGCCCGCACCATGCCTGTGCCCTTTTCTTGCGCGGGCTTGACGCGGCGTTGCCCGGGGGCTCCCGCAGGAGAGTCTCGGCGTCGTTCGGACGCGTGCATTTTTCGTCGTCCTCATCGTCGTCGTCGTCGACGTCGTCGGGGGGGGGGGAAAAATCCACGCGCCGCGTAGAAAAATGCACGGGGAACGGACGTCCGAGCGATGGCGAGGAGTTCTCCCGGTGGCAATGCGTCGCCCTCAGCACAAGCACGGTGGACCGTTGTGCGTTTCACTCTCGTTCTGCTGCAGCTGTTCAAGTTCGGTTTCAGCCTTCGGCTTCCGCCTTCGGCGCCGACATGTTCTGCTTGAGCGCGTTGTATGAACCTGGTCAGCAGGTCACTGGTGCTACTGGTTGTTCTACCACTACGCTCTCGTTGTGCAGTTCGTGACCGTACCCACTCGTGTGTTGAGGTCGTGGATGGCCAGTTCAACCTTCGGCATCTTCCTTTTCGGCATCATCCCGTTCTTCTTGGGAGCGTTGTGCCAGCATGGTCACCAGGTTGCCTGGTGCTACTTGCTGTTCTACTACTCCGCCCTCGTTGTGCAGTTCGTGGGGCCGTTCTGGGTGTCGCGTGGGCGGGTGCGTGATCCTGGTCACCAGTTGCCTGGTGTTACAAGTGGTCTTCCATGTTGCCCTCGTGCATCTGACAGGGTACACCCAGGCGGGTCTCTCTGATTTCATGTGCAACCTTTTCTGTAGTACAGGGCCTTTCCCCGCGGGAGGCTAAGGTGTCCAGTGCCGTTTCTGCTAAATGCGCAAGGGGGGCCCTTTCTCTTCGGTCTGTGTCTCCACATCGTGAAGCTTACGGCGCTTGTGTCTCTCTTCAGTGCATCTCGTTGGCGGCCCAGGCATACCTTGCAGTCGTCCTTTCGGCGCCCGCTGCCTTGCGTACATTTGTGCTGCGCAGGTCAGAGAACCTCTTGCTGGCGAGTGCAGTGCTCGTGCTTGTCAAACCCCGTCTGTGTCCAGGTATCGGCCGTGCCGTGTGGTCCCCTGTCAGCGGCTCCCTTCTGCCACTTCTATTCGCGACAGCCCGTCGGGGAACCTGCCACCTGGATATTGTGCCCGTTCTTCAGCGCACCAGTTAGTGGCGTGCTCTTCTTAGGAGGCGTTGCGTTCATGATGCTCTCAGTGCCGCCTTGGGGCTAAGTCCCCATCGGCGCTCTGCTTTCCGCTGCTGCTGTTCTTGAGCAGGATTATGTCGTGGCCCTGGGGCTACGTTCCCATGGATGCTTTCTGATTTCCTGAACGTGATATTTGCGCACTGCCTGGTGTATTTGTTTGAGCCCAGCTGGGGCATGCCGTTCGGCCTTCCCCCTGGGTTCCGTCTGCTGGCTGCTCTGCTTCTCGCAGCCTAGTGCTTGGGTGGCTGGCCTGCTGGCTGGTTGGCTTCTGGTTGGCTTCTGGCTGGCTTTGGCCGGTTGGCTGGCGGGCTGCTCATTGACTGGTCGGCTGGCTGGCTGGTTGGCTTCTGGTTGGTTGGCTGGCTGGCTGGCTGGTTGGCTGGCTGGCTGGCTGGTTGGATGGCTGGCTGGTTGTCTGGCTGGATGTCTAGCTGGCTGGCTGGTTGGCTGGCTGGCTGGCTGGATGGTTGGGGAGCTGGTTGGCTGGCTGGCTGGTTGGCTGGTTGGCTGGTTGGCTCTTTGGCTGACTGGTCGGCTGGCTGGCTGGCTGGCGGGTGGCTTCCGGTTGGCTTGTGGCCGCTTGGTTGGCTGGCTGGTCGGCTGGCTGGTTGTGTGGCTGGGCTGCTGGCTGGTTGGCTTCTGGTTCGCTTCTGTCTGGCTGGCTTTGGCCGGTTGGCTGGCGGGTGCTCGTTGATTGGTCGGCTAGCTGGCTGGTTGGCTTCTGGTTGGTTGGTTGGCTGGCTGGCTGGCTGGCTGGCTGGTTGGCTGGCTGGCTGGCTGGTTGGCTGGCTGGTTGTCTGGTTGGATGGCTGGCTGGCTGGTTGGCTGGCTGGCTGGCTGGTTGGCTGGGGAGCTGGTTGGCTGGCTGGCTGGTTGGCTGGCTGGCTGGCTGGTTGGCTGGCAGGCAGGCAGGCGGGCTGGCTGGCCGTTTGGTCGGCTGGCTGGGTGGTTGGCTGGTTGGCTGGTTGGCTGGCTGGCTGGTTGGCTGGTTGGCTGGTTGGCAGCCAACCAGCCGCCAACCAGCCGCCAACCAGCCGAATGGCCCTGGTTGGTTCGTGGTTGGTTCTGGTTGGAAATGCGGCCAAAACCCGTGTAAGTGGTGCTCAACTTACACGGGTTTTGGCCGCATTCTGGTTGGGTCTCGGTTGGGTTTTGGTTGGGTTTGGGATGATGTTGCTTTTACACGTTGTAAAGCGTCCCCCTACTGCTACTACTACTACTGCTACTGCTACTGCTACTGCTGCTGCTACTATTACTACTACCTACTACTACTACTACTACTACTACTACTACTACTACTACTACTACTACTACTACTACTACTAACCTACTACTACTGCGTGGGGGCTGGGGGCGCGGGGGGGCGCGCGGGGGCGCGCGCGGGGGGCGCGCGGGGCGCACGGGGGGGCGCGCGGGGCACGCGGGACGCGCGGGGCGCGCGGCGCGCGCGGGGGCGCGCGAGCGCGTGGCGCGCGTGGCGCGCGCGGCGCGCGAACCGCGCGGGACGCGCGTGGCGCGCGCGGTGCGCGTGGCGCGCGAGGCGCGCGGGGCGTGCGGGGCCTCCTGGGAGCCGCCTTCGGCTTCCTCAGGGGCCTCTTGGGTATCCTGGGAGGCTCCTTGGGCCTCCTGCGAGGCCTCTTGGGCCTCTCGAGAGGCCTCTGGGGCCTCCTGAGAAACCTCTTGGGCCTCCTGGGGGGCCTCTTGGGCCTCCTGGGATGCCTCAAATGCCCCGCCACCGCGGATAAGCGGTGCTGCCTGGGCTCCGTGTGGCACCGCCTGAATGCGGTGTGGGTCCGATGATGTCAGATCCTTCCCCCGCCCGCGTTCCGGGTGCGATAAGGATAGGGCGGAGGGCGGCACCTCCCGCTGGGAGGTTCGTGGTCGTTCGTTGTCGTCCTTCGTGTCTCGTTTCGTCGTCATGTCCGTCGCCCTTTTCCTCTTTGGGAGTTGCGGCACGGCCCTGGATTAGGTTCCAGGGTGGACGTTGTTTGCGCTCCTGGGCCGGAGAGTGGCCCCCTCCCCCTCCCCCTCCCTGCTGCCGCTGCTGTTGCCGTTGCAGCTGTCAGGCCAGGGCTTTTAGTGCCCTGCCACCTCGGCCAAGAGGTGCGGCCTGGGCGCGGGAAGACCCCAGTGGCACCTCCTGGTCTGAGGTGTACCGCCGTTTGACGACCACGGAGGCGGGGCCCGCGGCTTTCCGCCTGTAACCTCTTGGTTGCAGTGCTCTTTGCCGCGGGCACACTGTTGCCGTGCTTGTGAGGGTGCGGGCGCTGGGCAACGCTCCGTGTATTGTCCCTTGGGCGCCGATCCCGAACCCCCGTGCGCCATTTTGGCGCGGGGTGTAGGGCGGTCCTTGGTTTGCTTTCTTTTCCTTGATTTCCTCCCTAAGGCACAGCGTTTCTGGCGCAATTGGGAGTTAGTCAAGGAAAGGAGGCCGGAGGTCAGGTCCCAGCTTGTGTCCGTGATTCCTCTTTTTGCGCGCGTGCCCTTGGTGTTGGCCGTTGGCCACTTTGGCCGTTGGCCAGGGCACGTTGGCCCGCGCTTTGCTGAGCGCCACGGTTCTGTTCTGCCTTTTGGGCCTGCGACATTCCTGGGATGCCTCTGGGGCTTCCTGGGAGGCCTATTGGGCCTCCTGGGAGGACTCTTTAGCTTCCTGGGAGGCCTCTTGGGGCTTCTGGGAAGCCCCTTGGGCCTCCTGAGATGCCTCTTGGGCCTCCTGGGAGGCCTCTGGGGCCTCCTCAGAGGCCTCTTGGGCCTCCTGAGGCGCTTCTTGGGGCTCGTGGGGGGGCTCCTGGGGGGCCTCTTGGGCCTCCTGGGAGGCCTCTTGGGCCTTCTGGAAGGCCTCTTGGGCCTCCTGAGAGACTTATTGGGCTTCCTGGGGCGCCTCTTGGGCCTCCTGAGAGGCCTCTTGCCTCCTGTGAGGCTTCTTGGGCCTCCTGGGAGGCCTCTTTGGCCTCTTGAGAAGCCTTTTAGGCTTCCTGAGAGGCCTCTTGGGCCTCCAGAGAAGCCTCTTGGGCCTCCTGAAAAGCCTCTGGGGCCTCCTGAAAAGCTTCTGGTGCCTCCTCAGAGGCCTCTTGGGCCTCCCGTGAGGTTTCTTGAGCCTCCCGAGGGGCCCCCTGGGCATCCTGAGGGGCCTCTTTGGCCTCCTGAGAGGCCTCTTGGGCCTCCTGGGAGGCCTTTGGGGCCTCCTGGGAGGCCTCTTGGGCCTCCTGACAGGCCTCTAGGGCCTCCTGGGAAGCCTCCTGGGGGCCTGA